TCTACGGATCGAACCCATGCTACCTATGGACCCTAGGACAACCTACCAACTGCTACAAATACACAGGTCACGGGTTCAACTCTACGGGTCGACACAGGTACTGTACACAGGTAAGGTGGGGGCTAGGGATCGAGCCCTGGGATCTGCATCAGCTACTGCGAACTGGTGAATACCGTTTGACTCCCGCCGGCCTAAATTTGAGGTCCTCCGAGAATAACTTAGTCGAAGGCAGGACCTTTACCTTTCTGATCTCTCTCATAGGCTCTAACTATATCGGGAGCTGTTTCTAGAAGTTCTGATCTTGTGAACTAGCGGTCATCCTCCGGTTCCTAATAAGCAAACCGGACTTTATAGTGTTTCTGTGGAGGACCTCTACCTCCTGTTTTGAACACATCCTCATCTACAATGTCGTCGATGTCATATCTTCCATCCATGTCTGGAGGGATCATGGACCGTCTAGATGGAAACTGTTGACTTGTGACACACGACAACAACTTTGATGCGTGGAATATAGGGTAGGTGTGGAGGTGTGCTGGTATCTCTATTGTGTAGGACGGTCCATCCTCTCCGCCCTTTACTTCTAGGACTGGCCACGGTCCTCTATACGTGGGAAGTAACTTCTGTGAGATGTTCTCCTCAGGTGCAAACTCTTTAGACTTGACCCAGACCAGGTCGCCTACTTGAAACTGTGATGGGCTACGATGCTTATTAGCCTGCTCTATCATTCGGTGTTGGGCCTTCCTGAGGTTTTCAACAACAGTGGCTATCTCCTTCTCATGCTGTATCGCGAACTCCCTGGTACCGGGCGGTAGCCTGTGAATCTGATCTCGGTTAAGCCCTTCAAATGGTATATGTGGTCTAAAGGACTTATGTAGCTCGTTGAGAATGCGACAGGTGGACAAATGCACGTTGTTATTGTATGCACTGGCTACCTTGGGTAACATCTCGTCCCAGTTGACCTGATCGGGTCTAATGTACATGCGCAGAACTTGCTGCAGAATCTTGTTCATTTGCTTTGTCTGATCGTTAGTCTCTGGATGGCGGCCAGACGACATCAACAACTTTGATCCATAAACCCTCATGAGTTCCTGCCAGCTCTGGCTGGTGAAGCGACTATCTCTATCGCTAACTATGGACAACGGGACTCCATGCTCACTAACCCAAAAATCGAAAAACTTTTGTGTTACTAACTCTGTGCGCGCCTCTGCGGGCAAGGGAACAAATATAGCATACTTGCTAAACCTATCAACTACAACCATGACTTGGCTCTTGTTGTGTCTACTCTTGACATCGACATCCATGAAGTCAATGGAGACTGAATCTCCAGGCTGGTCTTGGATGGGCAAGGGTCTGAGAAGACCTAGAGGGGCACGCGTAGTAGTTTTGTTCCTCTAACAGACTTTGCAACCGCGGACATACTCTATGCAGTCGTTTTTCATTCCTGGCCATGTGTACGCATGCATAAGGTTGGCTAATGTCTTCTGCCAACCGAAATGTCCCTCTGTATCATGGCATTCCCCTAGGATCAGACTGCGGATTTCCTCATTGTTGGGAACGCATAGGCGGTCGAATACATTAGTCTTCTCGAATAGCAAACCCTCTGTAGTGCAGTAATCTGGCTCAGTCTCTGGGGCCTCCTTAACTTTCTTGAGGAGGTCACTATAGATAGGGTCCTACGCATACGCCTGTCTAACTTTCTCTTGCAGGTCACTCCCTATGACCAGATAGTGAACTATGGCTCCAAAGTAGTCTGATCTCCTACTCAGAGCATCCGCAACTATATTATACTTGCCCTTCACTGGCTTGAGCTCAAAGTCATATTGGTTTATCTCAGCGGCCCACCTAGTTACCTTAGGTGTCATCTTGGCTTGTGTCTTCATCCATCTAAGCGTCTCATGGTTTGAATACACTTTGAAGTGCCTCCCAAGCAGGTAATGCTTCCAGTGCTCTAAAGCCTGCCTGAGAGCGTAGAGTTCTCTCTCGTACGTCGAGGTGGCAACCTTCTCTGAGGGCATCCTTGCTGACATGAAATCGACGGGTCTATAGCCATTGTCGTCGTCCTGCTGCAACACGGCGCCTATTCCATACCGACTTGCGTCCATGGTAACGACAAACGACAAGGACGGATCTGCTACTTTGAGGACAGGATACTCGATCAACGCGCGCTTCAACTTCTTTAGCGCAGACGTACAGTCTTTATCCCATTGCCAGATTGCCTCTTTCTTGAGCAACTTGCGTAAGGGAGCGGCAATAGTAGACAAGTTCCTCACAAACTTCCTATAATAGTTGGCTAAACCCAGAAACGACCGCAACTCTGTCAATGTGCGGGGCTTCGGCCAATCTCTAATCGCTACTATCTTACTGTCCTCAAGCTTAATGCCATCTCCGTCTAATACGTGGCCCAAGTACAGAACTTGTGTCTTGGCCCACTCGCACTTCTTTGAGTTGATCTTGAAGTTAGCTTTTCTCAGCTTCTCCAAGACCTGCCTCAAATGACCCTGGTGCTCCTGGAGGGTCCTACTGAAAACTAGGATGTCGTCTAAATATACTATGACGAATCTATCTAACCAAGGCCTAAACAGATCATTCATACATCGCTGAAATGTCGCTGGCGCATTGGTCAGCCAAAGGGCATCACTATAAACTCATAATGCCCATAGTGAGTCTGGAACGCAGTCTTGTACTGGTCATCGGGATGGACTTCAATCTGATGATACCAGGACTTCAAATCTATCTTGGAGAAATACTTGCAACCCCGCACCCAATCTAAAAGATCGTCTATCCTGGGCAGTGGTTCAACATTCTTGACTGTAATCGCATTCAGACCCCTATAGTCTATACACATGTGCAACTCTTCTTCCTTTTTGGGGGCAAGCAAAACAGGTGCTGCAAAAGGAGACAAACTGGGCCTAATCCAACCCTTCTCAAGGAGCTCGTTTAACTGCTTGCGTAGCTTCTCTAACTCTCTAGGGGACATCCTGTAGACTGCTCCCTTAAGAGTTTTACTGCCAAGCTCGATCTCTATCCTGTGCTGGATTGGCCGCGACACTACTTCTGTCGGCGGCTCAGATAAGTCTTTAAACTCTTCCAGCAACTTGGCAATGGCTGGATCCATGGAACTAATCTCTTCCTTAGGCTCGGTGGCAGGTCTAACATACACCACAAAGACCTGATCCTCTAATTGCTCCTTTTTCACAAATCGCGCGAACGCGGGAGCACTGAGAAGAGCAATGTGCCAGCGAGTTGTCCACTCCTGACACATGGAACAGACGGGCTGTCTTAACCTCACCTGACGGGCTAGGGAGCCTATACTCATGCTCTCTCAAGTGGAGTGTGACCCCTGCTGCCTCTCCCCAGTCCATACCTAGGACTATGTCAAATGGAAGGTCATGCTATATGAGGAGAGTCAGGGAATGGAGAACTTTCTCCACCTTCCCATCTATCTCTAGGCGCAAATACGCCTGGACTCCCTCTACATAGTCCTCAACACGCATAGTGCGGTTGTCTGTGAGGACATTGACTATGGGGTTTGCCAACTTTTGGACTTTCAATCCTAGCCTCAACTTCTTCAGCGCTCTACGGCTAATATAACTACGGGTAGCCCCTGAATCTACAAGGGCTCCTACTCTACTCCTGAACGCTTCTACATCAACTAAGATTAGTTGTCCCTTACTCTCCTTCTTCATTTTGGCCCAGGCTGGCATCCTCTCCTTTAACTCTTTTGCCACGCATGTGAGGGAAGTGCCTAGAGAGACGCTAACACAAGCAATCTCTGGACAGCTAGCTAGGCACTGGCCTGCAACCTCTGCCATAGGCTCATGTGATATGGGAGTTACCTGTTCGCGCACACTCGCTTCCCCACATGGCCTTAAAGTAGGGGCAGTTGCAACCCCTACTAGCGGCTGCCTTTTGACTGTTGGGCAGCCCATCGGGCCTGTCTATACTTAGGACAAAATTTAATTACATGGGTCGGGTCACCACAAAACACGCACTGACCCAAGTCCACACGTTCCTGCCATACGCGCTGGTCCAAGCCCAAATCTTCCCATGGCCTGCCCTGCGGCAAGCCTGGGTGCCATACTCCTGACTGTTGAGGTGGCCTTCCACCTCGTCGTTGCGGGGACCGACTGGGACCTTGACGATTCGGCGGGGGACCTTGACCCCTACCTCCCACTTGGCGGTTCCCTTGTCTTCCAACCCCCTGTGCGCCCGATCCTCAGCCTCCCATGGTCTGGCCCCTCTGGCCCTGGCCTCCTCCTCTACCTTGCGGCCTCCCTGCAACCGCGACAGCAGCATAGGACCTCCCCTGTCCCACGCTACTATCCTCCTCCTCGAGGCCCCACTCAATCTGACTGTATGGGACCTCGTCAGTACCACCTTCGTCTAAAGTAAGGATCAGATGATCCTTGGCCCTGACCTGGCCTGAGATGGTACAACCTTTCCACTTTTTGCCCTTGTCTAAGTCTTTGTGCCAGAAAGTGGAAACTGGCATAGACTTGGCTTCAAACAAGACCACTTCCCTACTCAACGAATCATATGTGATGTTGGGCTGTTGGGTCTTGTCGAAAAAGTGCCGTCTCAGGGGCTCTGGCATGGCACGATAAAATAACTGGACCAGTTGGGTCTCTGTGACACCATGATCCTGGACGGCCACCAAGCCGTCCATGACAGCTTTGAGTGCTTTGGCACTCCTCCACTGCCGCGAGTGAGTGGTCTGAAGCTTATCAGAGGCTTTGACGCCTCTCGCGGGATCAGCAAATCGGTCTCTTAGGAGTTTGAGGAACTGGGGAAGTGAGGTGGTCTTTGAGTATGCAACCATGTTGTTTTCACAACCGGCTGCGCGCGCAAGGGACTAGCAAAACTGGCTGCTTCCTCTTTCAGGGCTTGGAAGGCTACGAGGACTTGTTCCTCAGACAAGATGTGTTGTAGGTACACGTAGCTATTAACACTAGCCTCCCAGTTATCAAAATTCTCCTCCTTCTTCCCGCCGTACGCGTCAGGAAATTTAAGCTGTACTGGGTCCTTGCGGGGACGTGCTTCAGCTTCTGCTGCAGCCACTACTTTGGCGCCCTCAATGGCGCCAGCACAGAACTGCTGTGCGCTTTCCTTCATCTTTTTGACCTCGTCCCGACATGAGTCACCCCATCACGCGCAAACTCCCTAAGCCCAGATCGGATGGCGTGCAGGGTCACATCTTGACCCTTGACGGCCTGATGTTCCTCTACCCAGGCCTTGCTCAAGACTTCTAGGTACCCCAGGATCTTGTCTAATTTGGCGGGGACCTCAGCTTGTGCATGCACCTCCTCTCTACAGGCTTGAATCTTCTCAACTTTTTTCGCCACCCTATTGGCCTCCTCTCTCCTCCTCTTCTTCTCCCTCATCATTCTCAACTTCCATTCCAGCTTTTTCTCATCCTCTGTTGTTTGGCGTTCCAAGGGGTCTTCTATCGTCTCCAATTCCCTGGCAAATGCTTCCTTCTCCTCTTGCGGCACATACAGTTGTGCCTCCTCATCCTCCCCTAACGATAAGTTAGCCACCCACTTAGTTATCTTCTTCTCCATCCACGCGTCCTCTCCCTTTGTGCCACTTGCCTCCCCTCTCTCTCCTCCACGTCTTCTTTCAAGGGGCTCTTCTTCTTCTTCTTCCTCTTCCCCTGTTGCTGCTTCCTCTTCCGCAGCCTTTCTCCTCTCTTCTTCCTCTTGTTCTAACAACATCATCTTCTCCTTTTGAAACCTCAACATCTCCTCTTCCAATCTCTTCTTCTTCGCCGCCCGCTCCTCTGCGATAGCCTTTAGCTTTGCCTGTTTCAGGAGCTCCTTCTTCTCTTTTCTCTCTCTCAAAAGGGCGGCAATTCGGGCCTGCTCGGCCTCGGAGGGGGTAGTACTCTTCCCACTACGGGTGTCAACCATGGTGATTGGTGCACAATCAGTCAATCGGTTCCACTCCTCACCACTTAGATTCTACTCCCCCTGACTGACACACTGACTGACTCAATCTAAGACTTACAGAATCCGAACAGGATCCTGTCAACTATGGTCTCTAGCCTGGACCTACGCTAAGGCTGTCACTACTAGACCGGTTGCTGATCAGGAGGCATTTAAGGAGATCCCCCGTAACTCCTCAAGAATTATTTAACGTCGCAGACAGGACGATGCGATCGGCAGGTCTCTCAACACTTAGACTGTTTATTGCACAGCCCACAACTCAGCCTTTCGGGCCTACCGTGCCACACCGAGCAGCCCGCCGGTCTGTACCGGTCCTTGGGAGGGTTAGGCCTCCGGGACAGTCGAGTCGTCAGACACAGTCTTTAGCCCTACTTAGTCCGGCAGGGGTTTGGTCAACGAGGCCCTATCCTTCATCCACAGAGTTCCTACACCT